TTATTAATGGGGTGGGGAGAGGGGGAAGAAAAAGTATGTGAAGGAGAGAGAAGGGAGGCGTCAGCAGTAGCCTGTTTTCGCTTACCCGCCCTGCTGTATGCAGCAAGTAAGGCGACCCGGCTGATGGCACCACGCGACGGCCGATGTGGCATGAGTTTATTGTTAGTTGTGGAGGTCATGGCTGTACGAGGGCTGGGATACGGCCAGGGCGCCCAAACCTAGACAGGAGGACGATTAGGGTCCTCAACCAAAGCCTTTGGCTCAAAAGCCTAACCGCAAGGCAGCGGTGTTCGGCTGGAAATGCAAGTACATTACCATTTTTTACGGAACACGTCGCCATACATGTTCCGACCCCCAACCTGGAGGGCCAGGAGACTGTGTTCGTCGGACCTCTACCCATGGACCAACCTGGTATGAGAGACTCTGTGAACATCGTGCGGACACTCCCCAGTATAGCTCAATGGGTCGCCGAGGTACACAAACCGCCACACCACGGTAAGGTCGTCTCTTCGTGACCATCCTGGCGTTTCCCAGCCAAGAAAATAACTTCACTAAAAGCAAAGAGCGGCCTTTTCCGCAGTCTTCGGCTCCAGGTATATTGCTCACCATAACATAAGATTATTGCTTTCCCAGAAGAACGGGAAACCACGTATGCCGTGGACGCGATATTGAGAGCTTTAAATACGACTTCGCACGCTGAGAGGAACGACAGGACGACTTTGATTGCGATGCCAGTGAGGAATATGTTGGTAGTTCCGTTAGTATTCGCTCAGTTGAGTAAATAGGTTGCAAACGTCCCGTAACCCATCGATATGTCATTAGCAATGCGCAGCGGATTGCACTACATCATTACTTGGTGATGTTCCGGTGTGAAGGCGCTAGGGAATGGTGGACTCACGTTGGCATACGTGACAGTGGACCGGGGTGATTGTGGTTTGTAGCCTGTATACAACCAAGTCGTTAAGTGCCAACCATTCTGCCAGTATGTTGCACTGAAGTAAGCTAGGTAATCGTAGAGGTGCGAGTTGTCTACCTGATTGGCAATACTATTTCTAATTCATCAGGTGATCTTCAAAATATGACCAATTATTCCGGTACGAAAATTCAACATTTTTAGCTGAAGGCAGCAAGATGTACTACTCTTTGGAAAAAATCAGAACAGTCAGCAAATGAAGACATTATACAACGTATACAAAAGGAAGAACAAACACCTGCCTGCGGGACAACGATATCAGCCAAAGATTTGGCACACATGAAGAAGTCCTGGGCTTCTGATTCAACCAAAATGGCCGGATTGTGTTGTAAGTCATATTTGATGTTGTCGTAAATATCAGATATTTTAGACAAGTCATATTCTTCTCCAGTACCACGAAAATCCTTCCACAATTTGCCCCAACGTCGCAACAAGAGTTCCCAGCTTTCGCCTTGGTACAAACTGATGGAGTTTCGGCTTTCACGACAAGTGGCCAAGGTCAGAAGACGTGCACCCAGTTTTTTCACATACGCCAGTAGACGGTCACAGGCAGCACGCGGATTACCCACGTAACGCATGGCATTGACCAACGACTTTGCACCTGTTGGGACCAAGGCCTCAATATCCTCTTCGGTGAAGTCTGTAAATTTGGACATGACATCCTTTATTCGGCGTTTCACCATGTGCTGGTAGTGACGACAATCGTTATCATTATCTAATAAGCCATTTGTATTGGCCGACTTGACCATTTGCACCAAAATAGGAGGCAATTCGCCTTCCAAAGCCAAAAATCCTTTTGCGAACGCCGCTGCTGTCATTTGAACACGGCCTTCATCGGACGCATAGATCTTCAAGTCATGCCGATATGTGCTGTGCAGTCGTAACAAACCCAACCCTGGATCCTTCCCATAATGTCCGTCGCCCCCCGGATATATACAACGGAATGCTCGCCCCAACCGTTCGGCTTGTTGTTTTCCGGCTGCGGTGAGCTCGCCACCCCATTTGACCACGAGAAGTAGACATGATTTCGGCTCACATGCATCGGTGGTATCTAGGTGGAGTGAAAATGATAGTTGGTAAGAATAGTTTGTAGAATGGAATATGACAACGAGGATAGTGGCGAGTTTCCTGAGACTAACCCGTACCAACCAAAAATGGTAGCTTTTGCGGTGCTGTTTCTATTCCGAACACAAAAGGATTCGGATGTACGCTAGCAACCCAACATCCAGAAGTTTGAACAAATGCATCAAAATTCTAGGACTCTGACAAAAGTAGTACAGAAGCAGTGAAATCAACGTGCGTGATTCATAACGAGCAGTTGAACTATAGGAAATTTTACACAGAATACATGTATGAAACAGCTCATGCCTATGTGAACCTCGAAGGTCGGGAAAAATAAATTGATAGAACGACGTGAGTTAAAATCGATTCACTCGTCATCACCAAACAACCGTTGTTCGTTCCAGTAACTGTGATTTTCCCCGTGTAGGGGAATGTTAATCCATCCAGTTCAATGCCCGATAGCCCCTGGATATGCGAATGAGGCAGGTGGCACGTGAAGCTTATTGAAATGATCCACTGTTACAATCACAGACATAAATATTCAACTCTATACAATGCGCACTCTTCCTAAAAAAATTTGCACCATGTATCTACCTCCACACATGCACCAAAGAACACGCTACATCTCTGCTCTTCACCCGGGTCAGTGGTGTTACGGCATTGAGAATTACTTTCACAAACACAAATCATGCAGCCTAATTGAACACCCGATTCGGGGTCGGTATTCAGCATATCAGCCGGCTGGCTAAGTTAAATGCGCAGTTCGATGGCCCAGGTCTAAAGCACCGGCATCACAAATGTGATGCAAAACTGCAAAACGTTGGGAAACCTAGCCGCGTGGGTTCCATGGAAATTCCAACTTTCGATTCGATCGCTGACAATAAAACTGAGAACCCAAATTATCCGGGTAAAACATTCATCGACCTAACTGTGAACTTAGGTGTACCTAAAACAAGCTGGGAAAGTACCCACGTAAACAGCTAGTGTTCAAGCTCACGAGTTAGTGTGTCGCAACAGTAATTGAACAAGATAACAGTAAATTCGACAAATACGTTGAAACGAATTTCTTGAAAATAAACTTATGGTGTTCACCACAATTAACGTACGTTGGCCACTGGGCGCTCGTGGTCGCACGCCTTACTAATCCTAGTTAGTCCAAGTCCGCTGTGAACTTGTCAATAATTGTTTTCAATTGTTTTGGGTCGGAAAAGTTGTCTCTCACTTGGTTTGACCAAGCATCCCAAACCAATTCACTATGGCCATTCCTGTCATTCAAGCTATCCGTATATTTCAACGGCGTATAGGCTAAATTGACGGTGCAGCGCGATCCAACGGGATAATCAAATTGGGCGGACCCACATGACAATTGCAAGCTGCCTCACACAGTCCTGGACGGAAGAGCTCCCGTCGTCCAGTTGAATCCGAATAATGACAAGCTGTAACGACATTCGATACCAAACAGTGTTCGCGCAACGCAGTTTGGGTTTGGAGGACCAATCGATGCACATGACAGGCTTGCTTTGGAGAGCCTTGGGGGTAGTTCTTCAGGAGTACATACTGGTTGGTCTTTAGTGCAAAAGTCAAGACAGATAAATAAGGCATCTCGCCGGATGATGCACATCTTTAGGCCAGTGGTTTACTGGTAAATACGTGTAGCCCTGCGAACGCTGCAAGCACTATGAATACGACAACACCATGGCCTCATTTTTCAGAATTCTTGAGCCGAAGACCTATTTATTCATTGGTATCATCTCGGTATTCTTATCGACAATTCAGAAAGGCGGTGGTATTTCAGCGGGGGAGATAAAATATGCCCGACGACGTAACAACCTGACCTGCGAAAACTGGATCTCCAGATCTATCTATTAAGGTAAAAAAAAACAGCAGATGAAGAGTTGGATTCGGCTTCTTTCAAACATCTAATTTGGTTGAAGTATGATCGGTAACCCAATTCGCTCCTTGTGCACAAAAACCTGAGTAGTATCTGCGACTAGACAATACCATGAAAAAACTCTGTACAGCGAATCATTACTGGCAATTACCCCATTGTGTTCATCAACGAACGTGTACCCAATCACATGCACAGATTATTATCATTGGGCCTGATTCGAACGAGCCTAGCTCATGGACCTCAATTTAATAGCGGTATCCTGTGGTGAAGTGAAAACACTTATGTATCGGCGCATGACCCGAAATTTGACCTGCTCATGGCCAACGTCAACAATTCGATCATCAGTGATTTGTGGCGCCATCGCCGTTCGGAGCACAAACAAATGCAATAGCCGTATGGTCACCGAGTGGTCAGTAAACAAGAAACAGTTCATTAGCGGAAAAGGCGGTGCCGGCAGAATCGGTTGACAGAATGAATGAAGCCACGTCCGTTCGGCCTGTTCGGGCTGAATAATACCAACATTGCATGACACGGAGTAAAAGAGGGAGCTTTCATCTGCAATCAGTCACAGCTGCATGACACGGAGTAAAAGAGGAGGGAGCTTTCATCTGCAATCAGTCACAGGAGGACGAGTGCGAAAAGCCCAGACTTCAGTGTCGCAGGCCGAAACGTATGCATCCAAATAAAGCATTTTGAGAGACAAATAGCCTGGGAAGGAAAGCCAGATCTAAAGCTACAACCTTCGCGTGGTGGTCGGGCTCCATTTTCGCACTGATCCCACGGGCTACGCTGGCTGAAATTACGTTCCACAATGTGTAGCCATCCCAGTAAGGCCCAAAGTGAGCAGTCGGACCAAGAGCAGCGAGTAATAGTGCCACGAGGCGGTCTGGGAGTAGAGTCGTACTATCCTCTGCGATAGGGATGTGAAGGCAGTAAGGTATTTTCCCCAGGTAACCCCCATGTCCACATTCATGGAAAAACCTATGCTGCTATCCACCAAAGACGGGTTAGAAAAGGTCGAAACCAAAAACCACACACTCCGACCACCCAACGGTCGACTGACCGCCGCCGCATTATTCAATAAGGTCAAAATACCTGTAAGACCAAACAGTCCGGTGCTGCTCAAAAGGTATCTGCTGTGCACAGCGCACCAGGAGTCAGAATGTAATGCTTTATGCCCTGCACCCTTCATTTAGGCCAGAACCTGCAGCCAAGAAGGTAAAACCACTAGGTTATCGGCTGAGAGCAGGATCCCCGCCCCCGATAAAAAACCTGCTGCCCGCTGCCTCGCGGGTCACACTTTTAAGTCAGAAGCTGCGGTCAGGGTCCTAGAACAAAACTCTACATCTTCGCACTGTCTTATGGGAGAACTCGAAGAGCCTTATCTGGTTCAGTTCATCTCAAAAAAAGAGCGGAGCGGGTAATCCATGTGACAAAACTCATTGATGCGACATTGAGTAAAGAGAAAATGCCAGCAGAACGGGGCACATAAACAGTCATCCGTTTCTTCAAAAAGGGTAAGCGGACGCTGAGTGAAAGCCACTGTAGCATCACCCTGGTAGCTGTGGTATCAAAGGTGCTCTCTGGTTTTATCCACCGAAAGCTGACTGAACACAGACAGAGACAGATGGTACTAATCAAGTTAGCTTGCATCCTGCAAGGGATCCATCGATTACACTTTTACCCACCGACAGATTCTCAAACAGCGACACCGCTTCCAGCAACCAACACTGGTTACCTTCCTTGACTTGAAAGCTGCTTGTGACTCTGGACCGCCAAGGACTACGGCAATGCCCGTGGAGCACAGGTGTCCCCCATAAATTCCTGAACCCTCTTCAGGCGTTGTATGCCAACTCCGCGGATGCTCTCACTTGACTTCACTACGTCAAGTGGCGCCACGCAAGACTGTCACCTTTCACTTTTACTCTTCAACTTCGTCACTGACACCATTATGGAAGATTCACTCAAATTCTAATGTCTCTGGGGTCGAAGTTCTCTGTTCACAGATGTCGAGCAAGCAGAGGGCACCGTCGTAATAAAAACAATAGTAAATAATCTAGATAATTCTGCCTCAGGGTTTGGCATGCGCTTCACAACTGAAAAGTGTTACTGCAAGACTGGGTCAGCCGATTGAGGTTGTAGACAATTTTATCTGCCTGGTCGGTTGTATTGGTCCCGGTAGTCTCACGAAGGATGATATTTCCATCTGGATTGAGAATACCAGAGCAGCTTTCGGTCCATAATACTACATGGACCAGAAAACCGGTGGCTGCGTGCTGGGGAAGTCCAGTGGTGTAATCGGAGCACCGCCTGAGTCTGGTGTGAACGCCGGATCAGTAATGATGAAGTACATCGTATGGTTTAGTAGCCCACGATAGCTGAACTGATTAAACTTCGTAGATTGTGCTGCCTTGGCCACGCGCTCCGTATGACAGTCGACCGGCTTCCTTGAAGGGCTCTTTTCGCACAACCACGTGAAGGGTACAAACGAACCAGGGGAGGTCAAACAATAAATTTACAGCGAAGTGAGAAAGTCATTGCCAGCAAACTCAGCTGCGCTGGTCACAGCCGCTCGCCCCTGGATGTGGACCATGAGACGGGATAAATCAATGGTTACAGACGTTGTCCGACAGGGCCCAGTCGTGCCCCCAATGGCACTTGTGCATCCAAGATATTACCTTCAACGCATGGCTCTCCTCTCAATCCCCCAATGAAAAGTCCACTGAAAACCCTATATGTATGGGCCAATTAAGTCAACTACCGCCTCCAATGCGCAGCTATCTACTCCACCTTCCCCAATCAGTGGTGAACGAAATTGTGGCAGCTGCAACCACTGTACGAGGAGTACACGCTTCTCATGGCTGATGGTGATGATGATGATGAGTTCTCAGAATCAGAGTAAACAAAATCTCCAGTTCCTACGGGATCATTCTGTTGTCCTGGATATGATGCAAATAGGTGAAACAGAAGATGCGGCCGCTGGGCAAATAGACATCGATTGAGTCTATCTAAGCAAGGTATCAAGGTACAAACCTTCCGAATAAATTAATAGATCCTGAATGTTAGAACTATTCAAAGGACCTAAAATATAGGAACTAGGTGAATAGATCATTTCTCCAACCACTTGTTCAGAAATTTGAAGTCAACATGCCCTTTCGATGTGTATCGATACAGTTTATCTGGTATTCACTAAACTACACATCAAAGATGTGTGTTGTAATAGTGCGCGCCGGGATGTTGAGAGGGAAGATCTATGAACTAGATACGCAATAGCATCACCTTCGCTCATTAATGATTTAGTGAGCATATAAGTTACTTTGGTCAACGGAAAACAGGCGATAGACTCATGTATGGAGACAGAAACACTATTTTCGTAATATCAGAGCCATTTTAGGATACGGTATTCTCTCTCGGTTGGGTCTGACTTACGGCAGAAAAGTTGACCCTCTAGTTGTTCCGTTACAAAATAGACCCTGAAAAATGCACGATTAGGATTGTAATCCAATTGGGTTCAAGATCCTCTTGAATCATCGGCCTATGTACCAAAATATCAAGAATATATGTCACCAATTGTCACTCGGATGATGTAAAACCCGAACTGCCGCAACCCGATAGACACAAGTGGTCCTTGAAAGGTTTGTCCTGACTATCGGTAGATCGAAAGCTCACACAGAATCCACTCCATCAAGATTTGCACTCAAGCTTAAACGCAGTGCACCAATTAATATGAAAAGCAACATCTAATAAGAACACCAGCTTTCTGCTGAATGGATCAACCAAAGAATACCCACCGTTGATTCCAACTTTTCCTGTCTTGTTGAATCCGCGTGGATGGTACTTAAGCTGAATCTTTCTGTTGATGCCACTGAACGAACCGTACATTTCCAAAACATACCTAAGTTGGAATTCAGGAAAGAAAATTTGATTCAATAAACAAGAGTTAAAAGTAGCCAAATGAGCCAGGAACTCAGTTTCACTGGTTGGGTAGATGAAATCAGGTAATGTTTGCGAGCAAAATTAATAATGTCTAAACAACACAAACTACAAGGTTGGTGAGGACTCCTCGTAGGCAAACTACTGGCTTCGCCTTTCTCGGGCCAATCAGGTGAATATGGTCCCCGAGTCTCCGTTCGTCCCAACTGCTACCCGAAAACATTAACCTGTATGTCAGTGGAGTATACACCCATTCGTGAATTGACTATTAGCAAAATACTCTGATACCCTGAATATCGTCCCAGTTCAAACATGACGCAACTTTTGCGCAGCACATTTGGTCGAATAATAACATAGACAGAAACTTCAGCTGACATTAAGTGAAACTTCTTATTAGGCCCATGCTTAAGTAATCAGTCGTTTATGAAAAGGGATGAAAAGAGGTAAACGAGGTTCCAGATTTTCATCCCTTCTGCTCTGTGAGTGCTTCGCTCTTTAGGAAACAGCGTTTTGACCTTCCAAACATCGAACATTCGATTTTAAAAGAAAATCGACCGGGCTAAACAAACCAAATCTAGGTCGAAAGTGTAAAACCAGGTGATGAGGACATTCGGTTAGAACTTTGGTCAACCGAAAACCACTGAGAACCTCTCAACCTTGGTTTGGTTGGTATTGGAACATCACACACACCTGAAACAGGCATGGTAAGCAACGTACGAAGAAGCGGAGTCCGGAAAACAGTTGCAGGAGTGGGATTGCCACAGCACAGCGCCTGGATGTACATGTCCCCGTTATTCTAACTTGTTAGCATCCGAAAGCGAACTACGATGTTCTTTGTTGACTGGAGATATTTTAATTAAAAATGTGTGCATTGACCAGGAACGTCGATGCGAATTCGAACAAAACTGTAGTTAAATTAAGTAAAACCGATGGGTTGTAGCAGACCCCTGTCGCTCAATCCATGTAGAGCATAGGGCTGAACCAATATTAAACCTGTGTGATAACCGGGAGAAAATGTTTTAAGCTCCCCAACAAGGGACAAAAATAAACCATACGAGTGCGTTTTGTCGAGAACCGGTGCAAACTCACCTAGTTAAATCATACCATAACTACTGCTTGAAATACGTGGCTGTTCTAATTTTCGTACGCGTATACTCGACTAATTAAGCAACCGTACCTTCAGTACATAATCGACAGGTATATGAACTGAACTGACGTCATAAACGAAACAAAAACAGACAGAAAGCGCATCGTGAAATACCCAACCGAGGTCTGCGAAGTAACCAATTTTCATGCCCTTACACTCGGCTAAGTAAACCAGTGTACCTCTGGTACGTAATCGACAAGTGAATGAACTGAACTGACGTCATTAATGAAACAATAATAGACAGAAGGCGTGAAATATCCAACCGAAGTCCGTGAGGTAACTTGCGAGGAACTTTAACCGTCTGGAAAGTATAAGTGATTGTCCCACAGACAGAAGGCCCGATCACATTAAAAATTCGTTAGACCGAAACCAACGCTCACAGTTTGAATTTTTTTAAAAGGAAGCAAAGTTATACTAAAACACCTAAAACACCAGATAAAATGTGGAATCAACAGTTGAAAATCCAGCGCTAGCTGACACCCCAACCCTTCAAAAATTTGATACCATAGTAAAACAATCCGTAAGTAATGCACTACAAGAGTATTTGACGTTTCCAAGTTGGATCGACTGTTTAGCTGTTTAGGCGATTGTCCATCCGTGCAGTGACGTTGACCATCCTAACTAGTCGGCTATTCTCGTAGATGAAGCAGTAATTCCAACAAGAATTACTGGAAGCTGGCCAGGAACTAATAGCGTTTACCCTACACCAACTAGTCCACTTATTCATACAACTGGATCGTATGATGTCTGCAACAGACTGGTTTCCACACAGGGTGGAGCAAAGTAATAGGATAAACAGGACGAAAAATGGCCGCCAACTTGCGCCTACTTGTTGCCTGAATTAAAAAATGGCCACATACTGAGTTTGACGAACCCGAATGCGGGACAACAATGGGTGGCTTCACTTACTTCAGTTGTTCGAATTTCGGTTTATTCTTTAGTAGCTGAGGGTCGACATCCTGGGGATTCTCGATTTCCTTTAGTATGCAGCGGACAATATCTAGAACCTCCTGCAGTTGTGTTGGACGCTTCAATTTCAGTTCGTTGGCGTATTCGCCCGCGTATTTGAAGAACAAACCAAAAAATTTCTCATGTCTGACTTCCATTTTCATTTTTTGTTTCGGTGTACGATCTCCATGACGAATAACTGCGATGACGCATCGCAACTCCATGATTGTCCCGCAAGTAGTCGGAACAAGCGGAGTATCCACATCGGTACCCGGCGGTAGGTACGCTGGAACACATAATTGTGGGGCAAGTTTCCGGGTGATCAGCACTCCTAGAATGTGGCTACAGTCATCGTAGTACTTTTTTGAAGACTTCACGAACGAAAACCCGTTGACATCACAGACATATGACATCCCGTTCGCACGCAACAGATCAAAACCGCAAATCTGCTGCTGAACGGCCTTGGCAACTTTTTTGGCAATGATTTTCTCTCTCGGAGTTAAAATGACAGGGTACCGTACTTCCTTCCCCTCGTGATCCCGTTCGACTTTACCATCCAGGGCTGGGGACTTGCGCGCTTCAGCGTGTGCGTAGTCATCGGCCACGGTATAGATCTTGTTTGGCGTGAAAGGAGAGACATGTGAATGGAAGATAATGAGCAATCACACATAGAATGAAATTTGACGAGAATGACTTACAAATCGAATATCTTTCTGTAAGGGCCCGCCATGATCTAAAATAACTCCGGGTCTGAGCAAACTGTGTGTGTTGGGTTAGCGAATTCCAGACATACTAATACTACATTCGACCAAAACAAAGCCCTCCATGGAATGGGATTGCCGTAACAGCTGAAGTGCCCAGAGGTTTGAAGGTAGGACTGGGGGGGGGGGGCCCTAGTACCGGACCCAGCACGAAAACACCACTTGATATGATATTCATTTTATTTATTTACTTATTTATACATTCACCCAGTCATTAACCTAATGCACAGAAACGAGTAGTGTAAACCAGCACGAAAACACCACTTGATATGATATTCATTTTATTTATTTACTTATTTATACATTCACCCAGTCATTAACCTAATGCACAGAAACGAGTAGTGTAAATGTTCGATGGACAAGGGACGTGAAAAGAACAAGGGCTGAAAGTGGAGCTCAATTATGTGGCCACATGAAAACTTGTGGTCAGAAAAATGCATAATAGGAATTTGCAGGAGCCGATTGAAACTGAACACCAAGTCGAAGATGTGAAACCCTGTCCAGTACATCGAGCCTCTACTCACTAACTCATCAGTACAAGACCTGATGCGAAAGTGGATAAAAACTAAGGTCACTCAATTGCACCTTTCCAAGGGTCATGTCGGATGGGTAAGTCAGGTCTCCAACCAATCAGTGAAAAATAGCCTCATGATATAAAAAAACAACACATCCAGCAGCGTCCGCTGAATTAGTTAGAACAAGTAATTCACAAGACGGATGATGAAAATCTTTGACCTGAACCCCGATCTGGATTGGAATCACCACAGAATCTATTGAAAATCGATTGTCAACCCTAAAACCAAAATTCAATCAGTTTAATTTCCGGTCCATCTCATCATCATCCTCATCAATCATTACTGACAGCAACACCAGATGACACTGGTGCACCACTGTCGTGCGACCACGCTAATTCACTTGTATAAAGTCTTACTATCGAAAGAGAGAAACGGTGAAAGGAAAGGACCTATGGTTAGCCTACAATAAGTATTCGAGGTGACTACACCTCCAACACTCCGTCAGACAATGAGGATAGAGTCTGACAGCATGAATGGTATTGATATCGATAAGCCGCCACATCATTCAGTGTCTCCAATCAAGCACAGGGAGGGTTATGTGGACCCCAACCTGGATAGTGGACAGAACTAACAGCGTCCAAACTTTTCTCAACATCTTCGATCCTATTTCGCCATGTTAAATTCTGTCCACCTGTAGGTTTCCGCCACTCCGAACAAGGCACAAAAACAGCGCTATTCTCGGCATGAGCCAGCCACCAAAGTTTGCAATTCTGGATGCACTCTTTTAGTGAAGTACTATCTGTTCCCTCCAGAAACCCCGTCTCCCGATCACCCTGTTCCTAATTCGTTCGCATCAACAGACTGCAGTTATAGGCACCGGTAGTCAACGGCTTGAAGATGACTTGAACCCTCCGCCCGCAGTGGCCAAAAGTCGCAGCTGTTCCGGTCCATTTACCAAGTCTGGAATCCGAAACGAGGTTTACTCTACGTGTATCGATCTCGTCGTAGACAGTCAGGCATGGATTCGGTCGCAGGCGGGTGGTAAACCATAAGTCCCAGAGAAGTGGTCTCTATAGAATGGCGCTCTGTGAAAAAGTCTACTGTATTCAGAAGCTTGTCAGGCGATTGGAACAATAAACAAAATGTGCGTGTAATGTGTCAAGAAAGAATAATGTTCAGGTCCGTCATCCTGTGAGTTGTTCACTAAAGGGTGTTTTGCATATGTGGGTTAATCGTAATTAACACTGATCCTGTTAGATAAGAGAGTCGGTAGGTAATGCATATTATTGGCAACCGTGAAGCTGTCTTGTCACCGGAGTTACTTGCTTCATACACGATGTTCGTGCAGTTAGAGGGTCAACAGGAATACAAAGGCTATCATTGGAAAGTTTGAAAAAGGGTCTAACCAGAGCCAAGATTCACCATTTACAGGTACAAGGGATTTTTGTGAACCAGTGGGAGCTACAACACCTTCAGTTTAATGGCACATAGAGCTACAATCTGAGTAGCTGTCGAATTCAAACCAAAATTCACCAACCGCAAAAAATACAATAATCTTTCATCTACTAATAACCATAGTATATCCACCTTCATCTAAAGTAACATACTGATAGCTCATGTGATGTAATTGCGCAAGCGAGTGAACAAGTAAAAGAGAAAAGACATACTTTGACATCGGTTCCATCAGTAGGCATGAATTCCTCATACATGTATGAGCCATTGGTACGGATTGTGCTGTGAGGAAAGTACTTGCTGCTCAGATTTCCCACCTTTCGAAACAAACGTTGACTTCCTCCCCCGGCCGTACTAGGGAAGTATATGTAAACATTGTGGTCCTCAGCATTCAGTGGTTTTTCCACAAAAGGTTTGTGGAAAACCTGTCCGTCAATCTACAGCACAAGAGGAGTGAGGGTGAAGGGATTGTCATTATAACTATAACTTGCCAGTCTGGTAGGTACAATGATGCAGACATCAGTTCCAACAATCTAATTGTGATGAGCCGATTCCCCCATAGTCGAGTACGATAAAATTCGCCTTTAGAATGCGGAAACTATGATTTGCTATGACAAGAAAATTAAAAAACATCCCGAAGACAGATTATGTAATTGAAAGAACCGTCAGACGAGTATAAAGCGAACAAAAATCCAGTTACATGGGATTTTCATGTAATATCTTGAGGTGCTTGTGCTCAAAGTCTTACATATGACAGAAGCTATAGACGATTGTCTACGATAAATGAACCTATGGATCAAACTGCTCCAGCGAATGTTTTCATGCTCTCTTGGTCTGTACAGCTTGTCACCAGGGTAACCATTCCTTCATCTCCCGGATACGGCAACAAGAAGAATGGAACTGCGGCCTCTCCATGGGGTTTCTTTTATTCCAGGTGATCCAAAACCGAACCGTTGCTGAACGGGAAAGCCCATCTACTACTGCTACTACTGCACTGCGAAGCCGAGATTCCATAGGAGCAATCCTATTTGGTTCAAATCGATCAGCAACCATAAGCAATTATTCGGAAACTAGTGCTGCTGAAAAGAGCATCGAAAGCGTTCGAGTAGCCGAGGTTGTTTTGACTTTCCTTATCTCAATAATAATGGCATGCCCGGTGTCTTAAATCTAACTCGTAATCATGTTTCGAAGAGCCTTGTAAGCCACGAGATTTATACGAAGACCGTAACGCGGTAAGCGAAATAATTGTGCTAATACCGGTTTTGGAGTACGGCCCCGTTATCAGTCCGGATTTGCCAGTAATTTAGGGCCGCCAACTATACAAAAAATCCCAATCCTCCGTAGAGGTATTTTTATAGGGGATGAAGAAAATGAAATACGCATGCAGCCACCTGGATCCAACTTTGAGTAAGCAAGTCTCAGGGCTTGATCAGCTGGGAGAACGTCGTCTACATCAAGATAGCAGGATGTACCACAGCTTCACCCTGAGTGAACTAACCAGAATTTTTCACTACGGAAAAGAAGTTCTAACTCCACATAAAAACAAGCTTCTGAGGCACGCGCAGGCGCAGCCAAAACATGCTGGCTGCCACTTGCTGATGACACAAGCGAGTGGACTTCAACAGGGTCACACAGCGAATACGTTCACGAATACAACGAACCCTGAACAGTGTGTCAAATTACAACCATTTTGTTCAGGGATGTGCAGTCTGTTTGCAACCCACAATAAACTTTGGAGGTACTATGCTACATGTAAGACAGGTAGTACAGGGTAATCCGCTCAAAAAATAGTTGGGAACATGCGCTATCACAGACGTCTTGTTAAATCTGCAACAATAAATTTCTAGCCTATGGATACAACTCGCACCCACTCTGATGTTCTCGCTTCATTATCGTTTCCAAACACCCAGTGCAAAAACGCATCACATGAAGACGGACAGTTCGTAGTCCATCGCACACTTGCGAAAACAACTACTGTAAGTTCAGCGCTACCAATCTCCCCGGGAAAAACTTTGATTACTAAACGAACTGGCGTCCTTTCAAAACGCGGTTGCAATACTGTAGTTCGGCATCCAATCCGCAACATAGTACAGAAGAATGAAGTGGCGGTCCAGCTTCGTCGTGTGTTGTTGCATAGGTCTGGCAACAGAAGGCCTGGAAGGCAACTCACACGGTGCAAGTTTAATTTATCACGAGGAAAAATTCTGGAAAATTCTAGTGCATTTCGTTCGTGAGGCAGTAATGCGGCCTGACACGTGCACCAGAACAGATCCAAAGGGTTACATGAAAGGCACCACCACAAACAATCAAGACAAAAAGGCACGCGCTTACCTCGATGGAATCATCACTTTCCACAACATTGACAGGAGGGCTTCCGGGCCGCCTGGAAACGCATGCATATCTGGGGACAGGAACACCCTCGCGTTTCAAGCACTCGTAAACAAGCCGTCGATCCATTAATATGTATTGTGATTCCAGATCGTTGACAAGGTATGGTTTCCTGAGTTTTGAGTAAGCAATTGCCTTCTCGAGTGGAAATCCTTCAGAATAAAAGCTCACGAGTGCATCGCACAAGGGCCAGGATTCAATTGGCTCGTGAAGGATAACATGTTCATCAAAAATGATTTGACGGATGTGTGAGAATTTGTCCATTCGACGTAGGATTTCTTTCATAGGCTTGGACATAGCCTTTTTAGCCATCGCACACAACCCAATCCGGATGACGGTATCGCCATTTTCAGTACCCTCGCCCATGCCTCCCAGAAGCGAGTCGTAAAAATTTAAAGCAGCTGAAAAACGATAGGACTGGTTAGCAGAAAATGCAAGAGAGTGGTACGTAAATTAGTTAGACCACCCACAATATCCTAGGCACTGATGGGTCGCAGAAGCTAATCTTTATAGTAAGTGACCAGATGGGTTGTTCAGGGAGGTTAAAAAGCATGTGCCTGTAATTTAGTTGGGATAACTTTCATGCTGCTTCAGATGATAGAAGTATCCAACAGGGAATTCTTATAACCGTTGTGGAACCTGCAGTGAGTATTAGGAAATACAAAGAAATAAAAGAGATGCATAGGTAGTTAACTAAGTAACATGTGGAGGCAACCTAACGCACGCGGAGGTCAGATGTACGAAAGCCGGTGGAGAACCAAGACAAACATACAGCAAGATGCTGAAAATCAGGAGGCACAAGGGAAAGTCCGGTTCTACAACAATGAAACTTGGAGTTATGCGGATTCTGCATGCGAGTTACGGATGACTCCGGTCACCTCCAAAGGGAATGCCCCCGAGTGAGGCACCAACTTCGCTTTATCTGGTTAGGTTACCAGCTACCTTCTCAAACGGCTTAGGATAAATAAACATTATTTGGCTGTGACACCAGTTCTGTGTGCAACATGCAACCCGATAGAAGCATGGGAGCTAAAACACCGTCGGTTTTCAAAACCCAAGCAGAAATTGAGAAGCAAAGGTTGGTTTCGAACCACGGACCTTCCAGTTATCAGCATTAAACCTCGAGAAAGTGCGAGATAGCTCAGTGGCTAAGGAGTCAGCTTAAGGACCGGAAGTCCGTGGTTCGTATCCAGCCTCGGCATCTCGACTGTTCCTGTATAGATCTAGGCAACCTAACAGTATCCCAGCCCTCGGGCCTCCTACCGCAGGCACGCCGGCTAGGCAAAGAAATGGCGCTACAGCTGAAGGATCAAACCCAACCACTGAGAGACCTTGAGCTCAGGCGACGTAGAATCCCGTGTCCTGTCCGGTTCAGTTTTTCGACCGTGAATGGCGTATATGAAAACGGTGGTTTCTGGTCACACATAAAGGATGAAACATGGGAAGACAGCGCTGAGGAAGGCCAAGTCAAGAAGCGAAAATGAGTGAATGAATTCAGGAGGAACATTGTTTTGATGACTTAGTCGTGTCGTCGAGGGCTTTCATCCACCCTTTAGGTAAGACACATCCGAGGATCCACCACTCGAAATATCCGAACATCATGCCAATTGGATGCATGGGTCACTGAATGGCCAAGAGCAAAAAAGATAAAAAGTTTACATGGACCAGAACATGGGCCAATCGGAATTCGGTATTTTTGACTCATCGCTTCTTATCCCAGATGGAGGATCCTTACTTTAATTACTTGACGTTACTTCGGCTATCGTCTGTGCGAGGATTAGTCGGCTTCCTGGAGATACCAAGCTGTAGCTGCTCAAGCTTGAATGTAGATGGCAAGGTCACCTCAAATATCAATCTATTGTGGGTCCCATTAGCGGAGGCCACTGACGCCCCATAGACATACAATCAACATCGGCCTTAACCGGTTTTATGGCGGACCACCTCAAAGACATTCTCGGAAAGAACTGATGATGCTATCTGATGATGTCCGTATGTGGGCTGTGAAGTTTGTACAATATGAAATTTGTTGCAGTTGGTCTGCTATACCACATTGTTCCTCTTGGTTGTCCTTCGGTTTGAAGATCAGTTTCCTAAACGCTGGATTCCTTTTTAGCCCAATCTAGTTGTGAGTTAAGATATACTCTAGATGGTCTGGTCGCTTGTTCCCGTTGTTGCTATTGCTGAGAAGTTTTCTTGTTCAAGCCTCTCTTGATAAAATTCCTTGGACTTCCATTGTTCTAGAACACTCTGAATAGATAGTTTTTTTTCTTATTCCATCATCATCATCACCATCAAAGACAGTAACATCAGTGTTGACATTGATGCTTCATGGCCGCACAACAAAAAGGTTCTTATGTCAAACATTATGAGTCGCCTACATCTCCAACCACTCAATCAGACGATCTGGAAAGAAAGTGACAGCACAAACGTCAGTGACATCGATTAGCTGCCCTTTCTTGCAACGTCTCCAGCCAAGGACAGGCGGCGTCACGGGGACCTCATCCTAGAAGGCGCGCAACACCAACAAAACCCAAACCCTTCCTTTTTCCGCAATTCTGTGCCGCTGCAGTGTCTCTGCTTTCTTGAAGGGGGTTTGGACGCAGCTTTTCTTGCGGTTCATTGGATGATTATCGTTGTGGTTGAGTATTTGACCCGTGTGTCTTTCTGGTATACGCAGATTTCCAGAGTCCCATCCATCTTCCTCTTCACTAAAGCGTCCAAGAATGGTAGTCGATTGTTCCTCTGCAGTTCGATTGTAAACTTGATACCTTCGAACGTGGTATTGGGCAGTTCGTGTGTTCTGTGTACTGTATTCGGTTCCATGATGACAAAGATGTCGTGGATTGATTATTGGTAGTACCTGGCACATTAATCTTTGCATTACCGGGGATTAATCCTGACATTAGAGATCACATTGAAGTCCTTTTCAGCTGTTGATATCGTTGAGCTGCAGTAATTTTCTGGTGCCTAGCTGCCATTCCACCTAAAGGAAGCACGAAGGCTGGGATACCGCCATGTTGCCCAATCCTATACAGGGGAAGTCGAGAGGCAGAAGTCGGGTTCGAACCGCGGACATTACGGTCAGTAAATTCGCGCACTATTCACTTGAGCCATCTTGTCCCCAGCTGCTGATGTATTTGCCCATCAAAGCCAAAAAAATTTAAGATGCAAGAGAGGGTTCCCGGATGTGAAACGATTAGTCGAAGTGGAGATCCTTCATTGTGCACCTCCGGTATTCCGTAGAATTGGGCAATGTTGATGTCCTCGACTTCCATTTTCCTGACTGGTCATCTCCTGTGGCATGCCGTTGCTTGAGCGTTGTGTTGATTCGATTGGTGAGGTTTGAAGTTGGGTCATTGTCATGACTATATAACCCATACATTTGCATAGCCCATTAACTCGTGATTCTCACTCTATTTTCAGCTCATGTTATTAGACGATTAAAGCGTACATTACGTCTTTTCTCCGACCTTTTTGATGCCGATCCTCACTCATCAGATGGCATGAAACGATGGACTCATTGGTTCCGTACTTTCAAAGCTTACATTAACTTAACTCAACCCGAAGGTCTAAATAAATTGGAAACTCTCATTCGTCACATCGACCATACAGTGTATGACTTCATCGCAGAATGCAGCGATAACCTTGCTGGAAAAACTTTACATCCGCCCGAAAAATATCGTGTATGCACGCCATCTTTTAGCCACATACAAACAAGAACCTGGTCAAGATGTCGACCAACCCGAAAAATTCGTGTATGCACGCCATCTTTTAGCCACATACAAACAAGAACCTGGTCAAGATGTCGACCAATTCGTTCAAAAACTTAAAATGCTTGCTAAAGACTGTGAATTCAAAGCACTATCTGCTGTGGAACATACAAACGAAGCAGTTCGGGATGCTCTGATAACCGGATTGCAGTTGAATACCATTCGGGAGAAACTGCTAACGTGGCATGAATTGGACCTTGACAAAGCCCATGAAGCCGCGCGAGCTCTCGAACTTGCACAAAAACAGTCACAATCATACGTATACAGACAACCCGTTACTTGTTCGGTATCTACTCCTTTACCCATTGTTAATTCCGAAACAACAGTTTCGGCCGCTACACAACAAACATGTTACTTTTGTGGCAACCCCAAGCACCCCCGTTATAAGTGTCCCGCTAAAGAATCAGTTTGCAAGAGTTGTGGAAAAATTGGACATTTTCAACGTGTCTGTAGGTCCAAAGCCTCGAAATACCACGCGGGTTCAGCTCAAGACTCCTCAATCTCCTCGCTATTTTGTGCTGCTGCTCCCAATTGCCTATCCAAAACTACAACAGATATTTTGGTCAACGGCGTTGTTGTCCGAGCTCTCATTGATACCGGCAGCTCCAAAAGTTTCGTTTCTTCATCAATCCTGCAAACTCATAACTGGGAGCTATTTCCGTACGACTCTGTGATAACAATGGCGTCGACGATACATTCATGTTCCACCAAAGGTTATTGCCTTGTGTCCATTCAGTACAAGGATGCTATATACGAACGTTTCAGACTTTGTGTATTACCGAACCTTTGTGCAGACGTCCTTCTCGGACATGACTTTCTGGGGTTACATGATAAAGTCGAAATTCCATTCGGTGGTCAACGGGGTACCCTAACTGTATGTGGCGTAACATCCGCAAAACTGGAATCTCCATCCTTATTCACCAATCTTGCTCCAAATTACAAACCGATCGCCACAAAATCTCGTCGTCATACACCGGAAGATGAACAATTCATACAAACGGAAGTAGACCAAATGCTTACCGATGGCATAATCGAACCATCAAATTCTCCGTGGAGAGCACAAGTGCTCGTTACCCGCAATGCAAATCACAAGAGACGCATGGTGATAGACTACAGCCAGACAATCAATCGCTTCACCTACCTTGACGCTTATCCTTTACCAAGGCTCGACCAAATGATTGAAACCATCGCACGCTACACTGTCTACAGCACACTGGATCTCCAGAGTGCATATCATCAGGTTCCAATAATCGAGTCAGACAAGCCATTCACAGCGTTCGAAGCTGGGGGGAACCTATACCAGTTTCGGCGCATTCCTTTTGGAGTGACAAACGGGGTCGCGTGTTTTCAGCGAACGCTGAACAATATAATCAAAGCCGAACAGGTAAAAGACACATTCGCTTATATCGATAACGTCACTATATGCGGCAAAACGAGAGATGAACATGACCGTAATCTTAGGCATTTTCTCGATGTCGCAAAAACATACAATATTACTTTGAACGATACGAAAAGCAGCTTCGCAACTGAAGAGATTACTCTCTTAGGTTACAAGGTCTCCAAAGGTATTATAAGACCTGACCCAGAACGCATGCGCCCCATAAGAGAACTCCCACTTCCAGAGAACGGGAAATCGCAGCAAAGAGCCGTTGGTTTGTTTGCCTACTATTCACAGTGGATACCGGCGTTCTCTGACAAAATTCATCCATTGGTTAAAAACAAAATATTTCCGCTCCCGGAGAATGCCCGAACAGCATTTGAGAACCTTAAACACGAACTAGAAAATGCGATGGTAGTTACTGTCGACTACAATATTCCTCTCGTTGTTGAAACTGATGCGTCCGACATCGCTATTGGTGCATCCCTGAGCCAGGGTAGCCGGCCGGTCGCCTTTTTCTCCAGAACCTTGACTGCAAGCGAGAAAAATCATTCTGCTGTTGAAAAAGAAGCATATGCTATAGTTGAAGCGATCCGCAAATGGCGCCACTATCTCCTCGGGAGACATTTTAAATTGATTACGGATCAACGTTCGGTAGCCTTTATGTATGGGAACCAACAGAAAAGTAAAATAAAGAACGACAAGATTGAACGGTGGAAAATCGAGTTGGCAGGGTACAACTACGACGTCGTCTA